AGAAAAAAATTTTACCAAGCCAGAGAGCTTATGGATAAAGTCATAGAGAAGAACATTCGCGTCGATTCACTGCCACTCTTACGGAAAAAGTAAGAGAAAGAAAGAGAGATAGATAGATAGTGAGATAGATAGATAGATAGATAGATAGATAGATAGAGAGAGAGAGAGAGAGAGAAACTTGCATCGAAGTGGAATGGTAGGAGAAACGTTGGAAGACTCCAACCTTCTCTCTATCTCTTTTGGTGGCTGAGAAGGAGCTGGGACCAAGAGGTAACTGGGGATACCGCTAAAGAGGCAATTACGAGACTCTCTTTCTCTCTTGCTGGAGGACGCTCGTAAAAGTTAGGGCGAACGAACGAATAAGAAGGTCCCCTTGGAGCAGCCGCGACCGATGAAGAAAGAGAAAGAGAGAAAGAGAGAGAGAGAGAGAAAGAGAGAGAGAGAGAGAGAAAGAGAGATAAAAGTCGCATAGTCGAGCTCGCGATCGAGTGAGTCTCTTGAAGATTCTTGCCCGAGGCGGCGTGTCATCGGTTCGCTCTTCTCCTTCTCGGCTATGCCGAACCGTGCCGAATTCGCAGATGTGAGACTGACGTGCCTCGTGCTGCCTTCGAGGCGATCAAGATAGTCTTCGAGAAGTATAAGGCCAAGCTTCTCCTCGGTCCGTCTCTCTCTCTCTCTCTTATTCTCTCTCTCTCTCTCTCTCTCTCTCTCTCTGTTTTTTTCTCTGTCTTTCTATCTTTTTTTTTCTGTCTCTCTCTCTGTCTCTCTCTGTCTCTCTCTCTCTCTCTCTCTCTCTCTCTCTCTCTCTCTCTCTATCTTACTTTAAGCTCTTTACGACAACCTATTCTCGTGAACGAAACTGAAACGATTTCGACGGAGGTAATACGCGTTTAGCACCACTTTAGTTCCTCCTTTCAAAAGTCACCGAAGGTAACTGAGTTTCATCTAACTTTGGCCCTTTCGTATGATCCCTATCGATTTACATGTATGACTACGTAATTTATTACACACTTTATATACAGATTATAATTATAAGATATATAATAATATGTATTTATATATATATATATATATATATATATATATATATGTATGTATGTATATATTCATTAACTCAAGTTTATGAATTTTTAAAAATTTAAGTATCAACGCATTTTAATGATATCCTCACTTTTTATATTCTAATTATATTATCCTTATTTTTCTATTATTGAATGTCATTAAAGGGCAATACTTTTTAATGTTTAATCGAATAAAAATTAATTTATTTCAGAAGGCAATCTGATATAATTTATAGTCTAACGTAAATCGTTGCAATAATGCAATTCAAACGTAACAATAGCGTCTTTATACATTCTACAATATCTATTTGAATTTGTATTTTATTGAAAATTTTTAAAAACAATTTATATTATTTCATCACATTTCTACAATTTTTGTTTTATGGAATTAATCGATTTGACAATTTTGATTGTCAGAATTATACAGAATTTGGTTAAAAATAAATCGCCTAATTTCAAGAACATATTCGACTAGTTATAACGAATGAAAAGAAATAATGCAAATATTCATTAAAAAAAAAAATGTACGTAATATTCGTTTCCTAAAAAAATTACAAACAATTTTTATTTACATCAAGTAAATTGTCTCGCATTTAGAATCCATAAAACGCCATGCGTTTGACGTTGAAGGAAATCATTTTCAACAATTTCTATAACGAAATTATTGTTCGACAGCTTGAAATATTTTTAGAATTTGTTATAATCAGTAAAAAATATTTATAATTTGAAAAGAAAACGTTTCCGATCTCGACGTATATACAATTTCTTCTTCTTCTTCTTCTTCTTTTTTCTCATTTTTCATCGTCGAATAAAACTCTTATTATTTAAAATTAAATTTGATTTATATCTAAGAAATTTTGTATAGAAATACAATTAGATTCATTAGAATTCAAACAAAGAGTTTAAATTTTATATATAAACACAGATATAAAACACGAATATTTTGGAAATTTTTAATAATCGTATTGTCAATTTTATTTCATTTAAAGCTAACTAAAACATTTAATATAATCGATTTGATCAGAGATACGAAAGAATTACGTATGGATGAATATATGGAAGCGATAGTTTGAACACCGACTGAAAAGTTTACGGAAAAGGAGAAAAAAAAAAGAAAAAGAAAAAAGAAAAAAAAAGAAAAGATGAAGCAAAAGGTAGCCAGGAAGGTAACCTATATAAATAGATATGTACATACATATATAAATACATATGTAAATACATATATATCGAAGGGTATATAAAAGGTACCAGCCGAAAATGGCAAGAAGAACGAGTGACCGTAGGAAAAGGGACGAGCCATTGAAATTCGAAGTCCGCCCGGAAAACTCCTCTCGTCTGAATATATCTCATGGTTTTCCCTCGTTGCTGGAGGCAACTCCTACGTTGGTGGAGTCGATAATCCGACACGGTGCTTCGAGTTTAGGGTGGATCTCAGAGTGGACTGGGTAGGAAAGAAGAGACCAACATCGGACTAAGGGTGGACGATCAAGGGTAGATTGATCCGTGGTCATCCATGGCTCTTCTTCCTACTTTAACAATGTTCTTCTCTCTTTCTCTCACTTGAAAAGACTACTATCTCTCTTTTTATTTCTTTTTTTTTCTTCCTTGTCTTTCCCTTATTCCACCGGTACTACAATCACCACCCTTTCTCTCATCTCAAAAGATATATATTTTACTTCTCTCTTTATCTCTCTCTTTCTCTCTCTTTCTTTCTGTCTTTCACTCTAGTTTGCCCTTTATATCTATCTCCCTGTTTCTTCTTCCTTCTTTTTCCTTTGTATCATCTCCTCTCTCTCTCTCTCTCTTTCTTATACACTACTAGACAACCACCGGTCCACCCACTTCATTTACCGGCATCCAACGACGAGAAGGACGACAACGAGAACGACCACGAAGCCAACAGGCACAAACGACGACCACGACTTCCTCGTACTTTCCCTCTTCGCCTTCGGCCTTAAGTGAAATCCTGGCATCAATCTTGCTAACGACCTAGGATTAACGCTAATTTGTCGACCGCGCGATATTGCCGAATCGTCGGGATATCTCTGTCCGCCTAACCGCTCTTTCTTCTCTCTCTCTCTCTCTCTCTCTCTCTCTCACTCTCTCTCTCTCTTTAACTATCTATCTTTCGTTTTCACGGTCTATCTCAATCTCTCCTGTTTTCTCTTTTCTTCTCACCATTTAGGGAAGTTTCTCGTTGTATCGAGGTCGAATTCGAAGTGAAACTCTACAGAAAATTAGATGATAGTCTATCTCTGATATAATGCCAAGAATATTTGAAACGATTGGATATATATATATATATATATGTATATATATATATTAGGTGGAACGGAAAGTAATGTCGCTTTCTTAAATTAAATTCAAACGAATAAATTTTTAACAAGTTTTTATTTTTAATCACAATCAAATATTGACATACGCGGAAACGACATTACTTTCCGGTCCACCTAATATATATATATATAACGATCAAAAAGATTAATACATTAATTTTTACGCGATCATTTCATTTAGATACGTGATTCTCCTTTTATTATTTATTTATTTATTTATTTATTGTTGTTGTTTTTTTTTTATCTTTTTTTTATTTTTTTTAAATCACATACACCTCAGTGACTAAAGTGATAAAGACGAGATGAAAATAAGAAGATAAAAGTATCGTTTCGAATGAAATCGATTTGAATGAGAGAAATTATTCGATGATATTATTTATTAAACGATTTCATTAAAAAAAAGAAAAAAAAAAATACAAAAAAAAAGGAAAAAGAATAAAAAGAAATCTTTTCAATTTTATATGATTTATTTAATTAATTAATCGAGAGAAAAATAATGATACAATAAGTGTCATAGAGGTCGAGAGGTATAGCCGAGTAGAAACCCGTCGTTCATTGTCAACATTTATACGAGCGAATCGGGAGCAGTAATCGTGGTTTGCTCGGTTTATTACTGCTAATTAATGGACTCGGAGGCGCCTCGCTCGGACGTGGCAACATGTACTCCTCCTAACCACAAGTGTACGTAACGCTTGCTCCATATCTGTCAGGAACGCGTCACGAGTCACGTTTTACGAACGCTCGTAATCGTCCTACGTGCTGCTAACATGCCCCCATCGATTCATCTTGTTCCGTAACTACTCGTATTAACTCCATCGTCGATAGTTCCTCCCCTTCCCCCTACGCCTTTTTGGATCCAATCGTTTCTCGAACGAACTTCATTCGTTTTACGAACGAACACCATCGAAAAAAATCATTATCCTCTTTTTTTTTCCTTTTTATTTTTCTCTTTTGTTTTCTTTTTTTTTTTTTTTTTTTTACTCTTATCCTTTCGCTACACTTTTAACTTTCATCCTCGTATTTTCTTTAATTTTAATTTTCTTCTTCTTCTTCTTCTTCTTCTTCTTCTTCTTCTTTTTCCTCTTCTTCTTTTTCCTCTTCTTCTACTTCTTCTTTTCATCTTTTTCTTTCTTCTTCATCTTCGTCGTGCTTTTTCAAACTTTCGTTAATGATCTTTTTCGTATATATTCTTTTATTCTTTTTTTTTTTTGTTTCTTTTTACTTTCTTGGAAAAGAAAAAAAAACTATAACGTATCGTATGAAAAGTAGAAGATAATTTAAAAAAAATTTTTTTTTTTTTTTTAAATAAAACGTTAAACATCCCTTCGATACGTTCTTTCTCATTTCTTTCTTTCAACTTTAACTTCATTATAAATTTTCATCCACGTTCTCTCTCTCATTTAATCTTCATGTTCGTCAACTTTTGCTTTCTCTTCTACTTATCTTCCATTTCTGTTTCATCTTTATCTTTTCATTCAATTCTTCTATCTTTCTTCGCTTTATTTTTATCTCTTTCTTATCCCCTTTCTTTATCTTCTTCTTATTCTTATTCTCCTTCTTCTTCTTCTTCTTCTTCCTCTTCTTCTTATTCTTCTCTGGTTTC